CTTTATATACTTTATAGTTTACAAGTCCCTTCATCTGTTGTCTCATTTCATCCTCACAATATCTCAGTACTGATATCAGCCCATTTCAGCTAAGGACGCTGAAGCTCACAGATGCAGAAATATTCTTCCAGGTTGCACTCTAGCGAGGGAGGATTTAGCCCCTGGCCCACAGGTGCCAGGGTTGTGCCCAACTAATTAGATCTCCTGATAAGCCTTTTGGATTATCTGGGAGCTTTACGAAAAAAACAAAACCAACAGCAAAATACCTTCTCATCTTCAGCAGCTGCCCTGCACTGGTCTCATCAGAGACACCAAACTCATCAGAGTTGGGTGGTCTTCTTTTGCTGACCCTTCATATAGTTCTTTAGGGAATTCATTTCTCTGGCATTGTGAACTGCTCTCTTCAATACCAGTCTTATTTCTACTATCCTGTATTCCTGTAAAAAGAAAAAGAAATGATTACTTTTGTATTTCTGAAGATTTTTTTTACAGGGAGGCTTCCTCTTCTGATAAAAAAAAAAAAAAGACGTATGAATAAAATAATTCCCCAAGTGAAATAAGAAGTTTTAATAAAACCAATAAAAATAGCTGTGGTTTACTAAGTACCTACCTTAAACCTTTAGACTATAAGCTCCATTGGGATAGGTATCCATTTGTCCCCAGTACCCAGAACAACACCAGGCACAGAGTAGGTGTTCAACAAATATCAGTATGTGTAATAAACTGATGCCAGGCACAATGTAAAGAGCTTTCCATGCACATCTCATTGAATTCCAACTTCTTCCCTACCTCCTACAGTATACACACAAACCTACAACTTAATGAAATAGGTATCTTTATCCCAGATGAAGAGATTGATATTGAGAGATTGAGTAATTTATTAGAGGATACATGGCTGATAAGTAAATGGTCCCTCTAACTCCAAAACTTCTCTTAATTAGGGTTCTATGAATAGAACAAAGTTGGAATGGCTTAGCTCATAATGTCCCATCACCAAGGTAATATCTCAGTGGGCTGATCCAAACCAGTGGACTTCAAATAGGCTTTGGGTTGCTGTACATTAAAGGTAATTTATAATAACATACCTGTAGAAACAGGAGTATATTTTCTACATCTATGCAGTTGATTCTTGTTTTTGCAGTAGTCATGTTCTATAAAGTGGCCCCAAGTATTGAGTTAGCAAATACTCAGTCAATTGCTCTTAGGGGAAATACGGGGATAGGTCCTTGTGAGTCTCTGGTAATAAGATTTTTGTCAACCAATCAATATATAACCTTATTTCATGTATGTATCTGTATGTATAATTATTTAATACATACTGTTGATTCATTAACATTGAACTCACAACCAACAGCACTATACATGCTTGAACAAAGCTTATCTAACACACATAAGGCACATTACAGCCTTCTTGCTGCTTAGGAGCACTAGCCAGCACTTTAGCACTATACTTGGGGAGCATTCTAAAAAAAAAGAAAAACAAACAAACAAAAAACCCTAGTAATACTAAACAGATCAGGAAAAGGACACTTGTTTATAGGATGAAAGCTGAATCAAGAAGGCGGAGTGTCCCCTTGTTTGACCTTAGCTGGGAATATGCACATCAAGGAGACTCAGATTTTTGCTACTCTGTGCATTTCTGGGAATGACTATTAAAATGCCACAAGTATTGATTTTGAGATAACAAATAAGTATTTATGAGTAGGCAAATTTACAAAGATGGAATTCATGAATAATGAGGATGTACTGTATATACATGCTTAATATTTTCAAAGTCCTTTATTTTTTATTTTTGGGTTTTTTTTCGCCTATTTGTATTTATTTATTTCAAAGTTTTATTTAAATTCTAGTTAGTTAACATATAGTGTAGTATTGGTTTCAGGAGTAGAATTTAGTGATTCATCGCTTACATATAACACCCAGTACTCCATAACAAGTGCCCTCCTTAATACCCATCACCCACCCACCAACCCTTGGTTTGTTCTCTATCACTAAGAGTCTTTTATGGTTTGTTTCCCTCTCTCTCTCTCTCTCTCTGTTTTTCTTTTCCCTTCCCATATGTTAATCTGTTTTGTTTCTTAAATTCCACATATGAGTGAAGTCATACGGTATTTGTCTTTCTCTGCCTGTCTCGTTTCAATGAGCATAATACACTCAAGCTCCATCCATGTCATTGCAAATGGCAAAATTTCATTCTTTTTGATGGCTGAGTAATATTTAATTGTAAATATATATACCACATCTTCTTTATCCATTCATCAGTTGATGGACATTTGGGCTGTTTCCATAGTTTGGCTGTTGTTGGTAATAAGGCTGTAAGTATCGAAGTACACACACGTGTGTGTGTGTGTGTGTGTGTGTGTGTGTGTGTTTTGATTTTTAAAAAGTAATCTCTACACCCAACATGGGGCTCAAACTTCCAAACTGAGACCAAGAGTCACATGCTCCACCAACTGAGTCAGCGAGGTGCCACTCAAAGCTCTTTAAAAATTTGTATGTTTTTTTTAATTTTTAAAAATTTTTTATTTATTTTTGAGAGAGAGAGACACACACACACAGCACAAGAGGGGGAGGGGCAGAGAGAGAGGGAGACACAGAATTTGAAGCAGGCTCCAGGCTCTGAGCTGTCAGTGCACAGCCCGATGCGGGGCTCGAACTCACAAACTGTGAGATCATGACCTGAGCTGAAGTTGGATGTTTAACCAACTGAGTCACCCAGGTGCCCCTAAAAAGTCATATGTTATACACCTTATTTATCTCCACTTAAGAGACTGTAAAACTGGGTGAAGTAACCATAGAAACCATCCTGTTACTATGTCATACAGAGAGTCAGTTTCATAGGCATGTGACCTCTGCACTAACACAAGGCCCCCATGTTCAAAAGGGCCCATGAATTTTCAACACAGGGCCCTGCAATTTCATTTTTCACTGGGCCCCACAAATTATGTAGCTGGTTCTGGCTGCATGGCAAGTAAACAGATTAATAACTGGAGGGACAAACAAACAAACCCAAATGAAAAAATACTATACATCCAGCTGAACAAATCCCTTATTTCACTGTGCCTGGTATATTAAAGTTACCATTTATTGAGGATTGGCTATATTAGGCTCTTGTATGTATGACACTCTGTGAGTTGGGTATTATTTCCACTTAACATACAAGGAGAGGCACCTGGAGACTCAGGGGTTAAGCTTCCAACTCTTGATTTCTGCTCAGGTCACGATCTCATGGGTTCGTGAATTCTAGCCCCACATCTGGCTCTGCACTGACAGCATGGAGCCTACTTGGGATCTCTCTCCCTCTCTGCCCCTCCTCTGCTCACTCTCTCTCTCTCCCAAGATAAATAAATAAACATTAAAAAACTAAAAACAAAAAACAAAAAGCAAAACAAGGAAACTGAGTGCCCAGAGAAGGTAACTTAACTGCAGTCATACAGTGAGCGTAGCTTGAATAGGGACCAAATCGGACTCAAAACTTCATGCTCTTACTGTTAGACTCTTACTGTGTCTAATTTTAGTTGGCTCCAGTTTCCAGGTAATTTGTAATGAGAATTTAAATTTTGTGATCTCCTCAGTGAGCTTTTAACTAACACGTCTAGATTTCATTTGCAGTAAACATATATAATGGGCTTTTAACAGAATATAAATTCAGCTTGAAAGTACATAAGAGACAATTACCTTGTTTTCTTTTCTTTTTCTTTAGTCATGTCCCAATTTGATTTCATTTGTACATCTCCTAGGCAGGATAAACAATCAAAGTGTTAGAGGAGATATAATTTAAAAAGTTTAAATTCTGATCACCCTCACTTTCTCTGAAATTAATGTTCAGTTAATTCAAGTTGAAAATACTAAACACCTCTAAGTAATTAGTCCATTTACAAACTTAGCTAATACTTTAAATATTTTAAACTTCTTTCATAAATTTAACATATTTGATTTTTTAAGTACTTCACATGCTTGAAAAGACAAATTTATAGCCCTAACAAGCAAATTCTTCCTAAATACTTAACAACACTTTAGTTTTTAAGTTCATGTCCTGCCATAGCCAATTTAATGTCTTTTTTCTGTACTTTTTAAAATAAATATTGATTTATTTTGAGAGTAGGAGAAAGAGAGAGAGAGAGAATGAGCAGGGAAGGAGCAGAGGGAGAAGGAGAGAGAGAAAATCTTTAGCACGTTCCATGCCCAGTGCAGAGCCTAACACAGGGCTGAATCTCACAACCCTGAGCTGAAATTAAGAGTCAGATGCTTAACTGACTGAACCACCCAGGCGCCCTTGTACTTTTTTTTTTTAATGTTTATTTATTCTTGGGAGAGAGAGACAGAGCACAAGCAGGGGAGGTGCAGAGAAGAGGGAGACACAGAATGTGAAGCAGGGTCCAGGCTCTGAGTTGTCAGCAAAGAACCTGACACGGGGCTCGAACCCATGAACCACGAGATTATGGCCTAAGCCAAAGTTGGACACTTAACCGACTGAGCCACCCAGGGCCCCATCCCCGCACTTTTTATAATAAAATCCCTTTAGATATTTATTGGGAAAGAAACATCCAAAATGTTAATTTCATTGTCTCTAGACAATGTTCAAGAGTGATTTTTACCTTGTCTACCTTATGCTTTTCTGTATTTTCTTAATTGTCTACAATGACTATGTATTATTTTTATAATCAAAAGAAACAATGAGAGTTCCTAAAAGCAAGAATCAATACATAGTATCAATTTCAAAAACAAAATATCTTTTCTTACTACAATCCTCTTTTTTATGATTTTTTTTTTCCTTCGAAGAAACATCAAAAAACAAAAAGACCTTAGGAAACAATAATAAAAATGGAATGAGATGTGGGGTCAGGGGCACAGTGGTGGTGGTATTTTACAGGAGGAGAAGAAAGAACTGGTAAAAACCTGATGGTGAATACTGGCTGCTAGGTCAAGCAGCAACTGATTGTATTTTTTCATTTGTTTCAGGATACTAAGAATCCCTTGACGATTAGTTTGTCACCATAATGACCTCTAAAAACAGAACCAATGAAATCATTAAAAAACTTAAAGCTAGCAAAAAACATCTGGAGGAGATAAACGAAAAGCGTGACTCCAACTGCTTTGTGGAAAGAAGCAATCAAGTCAGTTTATTGAGAGTTCAAAAGAGGCATTTCAGTGGTGCCTACCAGTCCTTTACTCACACCCAAATCAAAGAACCCGTTCCTGACAGTGGCAGGAGCTCCTGGGTCACACTGAGTCTCCTGGTTCACACCGAGAAAAAGCACTTTCCTGCAAAAAGTAAGTTGTTATGTATGGTAGGATTCCATCCCCAACTGACAGGAGGGATTTATATATAAACTTGAGGAGAATTTCTGGGGTAGAGAGAGGTTCAGTAAGTATCGTTCTGGGACAGTTTAAAGGAGGTCTGTCTGAGGTGAAAAGCATCAGTAGACTAGGTTAGTGGATGTAAGATCTGCTGTAGACCAGAGATTTTCTTTTTCTTGTGCTTCCAGAATCCTGAGCTCCACCTCTAGACTGACTCATTCCGTAGGCCCTCCTTTGGTCCTAGAATCCGTGTTTTCATCAGGCTAAGGGAATTTTGATGCTGAAGGCCTGAGAACCATATTTTGAGAGAAGTTGTTATAGATAATTATAATAGCCCACAAAAGCTCCAGAGACTACCTATCTCACCAATTTGTTGCCTGTGCAAAAATTTCATGTACAAAATTGAGATACAATGGAAATGATTTTGATGACAAATATCAAACAAAAAGCCCTGATTAACAATAATACAATGTGGAGGGAGGTTGGTGTGGGGGTTGATGGTGGTGGTAGTATTATTTTGCAGGAGGAGGAAGAGAAAGAGTAACCATTTTTGATTGTGAATACTTGTCTCCAAGTCAAGACAAGCAACTGATGGCATTTTTTTCACGTTTAAAAAAAAATAAAGTAGAGTGTAATTGTATTAAATACAAACAACACGCGATTAAGTTAGATCTGCAACAAGAAAAATCAGTATTTTGGAGATTTAACTTCTTTGATGACTTTACATTTACCCCCATGCTCTTGGTAAGTGGTGTAAAAAGGGTGATACAGTGTGACAATGAAAACTGACATTCTTGGGGTGCCTGGGTGGCTCAGCTGGTTAAGCATCTGACTTCGGCTCAGGTCGTGATCTCGCAGTTCGTGGGTTCGAGCCCCGCGTCGGGCTCTGTGCTGACAGCTCAGAGCCTGGAGCCTGCTTCAGATTCTGTGTCTCCCTTTCTCTCTGCCCCTTCCCCACTTGTGCTCTCTCTCTCTCAAAAATAAATAAAAACATTAAAAAATTAAAAAAAAAAAGAAAACTGAGATTCTCCATTGTGCTTTAAAGTTAATCTGTAACAGCCATGTGTTAATTTTACTCAAAAAATAATTCTTTACAAGGGCCTTTAGTGTTCCTAATTCTAAGTGAATCTGCATAATCTTTTATTCTGCTTGAATTACTCAGTACTAGTTATGAGTTAAACCACATAGAATTGGTTAGGCTCACAAGCTTAATAGTGGAGGGTGATATCCACCTTCTATAACAAACACAGTTTACCATTTTACACGAATACACATGGTTTTCTACAAAACAGAGTCTAACAAATATAATTTCCATAACCAATATTAATGATACCAAAGTTATAAGCCAATAATTCTGGAACATTAAATCTTGCAGAAAAGCTCTTTGTTCTTTTAAATAAACAGGCTTAAATAGAAATTCAACTTTATGATGACAAGATACAGAATAAGCATGGACTTAATTGAAATGTTCTGGTAATTAGCATGTAAATGCATGCTTTTTCTTTTTTAGTCTAAACTATTAATTCTTGAATGGTGGTGTGGGAACCACTGAGTATTCAGGTCTTTTCAGGAACCCACAGGGTCAAAGTTTTCATGAGGATGCTGAGATATTATTTGCCTTTTTTACTCTCATGGGAGTACATTGGAGTTTTCCAGAAGCAATGTGATGTGCAGTCACATCGTTCTTCTGACCATTAAATGGAATGTGGGCTTGTATTCTTAATTTTAATTTTTTTCCCTCAGTTTACCTTTCTAATGTAACTATTGAGAGGTACAACACCCATGAACAAAACCTTGATAAAGTCTTCAATAATTTGTAGGAATATAATGGATCTTGAGACCAAAAAGGTTGAGACACACTTGTTTGAACAAATGGTAGGTAATTACTGACCCGGTGCTGTTTATTCTCAAGCTTATTAGATTTTTTTCCCATGGTTTTCTCATTAATCTCTAATTAAAAATCAAGGTCTTTGGCTTCAACTTTAATTTTCGTCAAGGATAAATAAGAGATATTGGGGCTTATTTATTTTTTATTTCCACAAGTAGAAAGTGCATGGATATAGAGAAGGGTGCTAACATTTTTTTGAATGTATACTTTATTCTGAATACTGTTAAGGTTTGAAAAGGTCAACAATAAGACCCTTCTGTTCCTGAGTTTATATCAATTGACAGATAGATGGAGGTTAAAATGTTGGCTTTGTTACTGGAAAACTATTTATATTGGAGAAACTAGCTTAAAAGCAGTGAACGGTGAACTCACCCCAAGAGAGAACTTGCCCCATTCCAAACCAAAAGTTTGGCCCTGCCACACTAAACTGAGAACACAGATATATATCAGAGAGTACCCCCTCCCCCAGGAAGCCAACAGATGCAAAGAGAAAATCCTCATTTGTAAAATAAGGAGATGGGACATTACTTATAAAACATGATGAACATATTACTCCAGTAAACCATTCACAAATATGTACTCAATTAAATGATAAACACCATTAACTGTAAAATAACATCCTTTTTAGATAAGATTACCTGCTTCTGATCAACTACACTTAGTTTTTAGGTGATCTCAACGCGACAGTTTGCTGGTCTTCAACCTGTTACAGGACCTAAAAATACCATCCTAATTCTGATGACTCCCACATTTCTATTTCTGGCCTTGACTTTTCTCCTGAGTTTGAAACGCATCCATGAGGACTTCTACCTCTACTTGGTATCTCAAATTTACCATTGCCGAAAAGAATTCCTATCCTCTGCCCCCAAACATACATACTCACCCCTTCCCCCTCCTCATTTCAGAAAATGGTCAAAAATCTAGGATTTTTGTGTCAGATATCTAGGATAGTGTCAGAGTCTGACACTCTTCTTTGTCCCACATTCCACATCCAATCTGTCTGGAAGTCCTATCAATTGTTCCTTCAAAATCAGTCCTGAATCTGACCACTATCACCCTGATTCAATCCATAATCATCTCTCTCCCAAAGTACAGCCTGCCAGCTGTCCTCCCGCCTCTGTGCTTGCTGCCTCCCACACTTCTTTACACAACAGCCTGAGTGATCTTTTTAAAACATGTATTAGATACATTATTCATTGCTCAAAACTGGTCTACGGTCTCACAGCACACTTAGGTGAAATCCACACACCTTCTCCTGTGCTTATAGGCTCTCAATGAACAAGCCCCTAATTATCTCTTCATCCTTATCTCTCCACTGTCCCTGGCCTCATTTCACTTAACTACCATGGCTTTCTTCCTGTTCCTGGTCCATAACATTCTGGTTCCCATCTCAGGGACTTGGCACATGCTGTTCCCTCTGCCTGGAGTTCTCTCTCTTTCCCTCACTTTATTCAGATCTTTGTTCAAAATCCAATTAATCAGAAACTATCCTATATAAATAGAACTCTCCAATATCCTGGGGCACCTGGGTGGCTCAGTCAGTTAAGCTTCTGACTGTGCCTCAGGTCACAATATCCCAGTTCAGGAATTCGAGCCTCACATTAGGCTCTCTGCTGTCAACACAAGAGTCCGCTTTGGGTCCTCTGTCCCCCTCTCTCTCTCTGCTCCTCCCCTGCGCATTCTCTCTCTCTCAAATTAAAAAAAAAAACACTTTTAAAGAACTCTCCAATATCCTGCAATACCATACCTGGCTTTCTTTTCCTCTGCAGGGTTAAGCAGAGATGATGTCTGTTTTTTCACTGCTTTGTCCATTCTATTCCAAGAATGGTGTCAGACATAAATTAGGCACATAGAAAATATTCATTTGGTAGTTGAATAAATATTAGGACATAGTATGTATTTTTCCAGAAATAATGGTAAATCTTACCTCATTCCTCTTGAGACCCATAGTCGTGCCCTTGGGCAATGGCTCACAAACTTAGAGTCTCCCGGGGCACATTTGTTGCTGTAGAATAATCTTTAGAAATGGAAGAGGATAATAAGAAGGTATGTTTTGCTGGACCTATACAATAATTAAAATTTTTTAATGTTTTATTTTATTTTTGAGAGAGAGAGAGAGAGAGAGAGAGAGAGAGAGACAGAGCATGAGTGGGGGAGGGGCAGAGAGAGAGGGAGACACAGAATCTGAAGCAGACTCCGAGCTGTCAGCACAGAGCCTGACGTGATGCTCGAACCCATGAACCGTGACATCATGACCTGAGCTAAAGTCAGATGCTTAGGCAACTGAGCCACCCAGGCACCCCAGGATGTATACAGTAAGAATTAGAAAGCACTTTACTCTTTTCCTTTATACGTACCTGTGTTAGAGGAAGAAACACATTCATTCAGCAAATTTTTAGGAGTATCTACTTTCTGTCAGGCACTACTCTATGTGCTTGGCAATACAGTGATAGAGAAAAAATCCGCCTTATAAAACTTAGATTTCAGTGGGTATTTGAGTGGATAGATGCACGTATTATAAGTGGGTAAGTGCTATGGGGAAACATAAAGCAGGAGGATGGGAAGTGCTAGGGAAGGGATGCATGGGCTCCCAGAGCATGGGGTTGGCATCCGGGGCACGTGGGACAACCCAGAACTCCTGGCTTCTTTGTTTCCCCCTTTGTTTTTATTTTGTTATTCTTATTCTTATTATTTTCATCGTGCTAAGTGTGCTTTTTAATCCCCATCACCTATTTGACCCATCCCCCACTCACCTCCCAGCTGGTAACGTAACTGTCAGTTTGTTCTTTACAGTGAAGAGTCTGTTTCTTGGTTTCTCTCTCTCTCAGAACTCCTGGCTTCTGGAGGTAGCCAAAGTAAACAGGGAAAAGGAACAGAATGAGATTGGTCTTCATGGTCTCAAGCGGTGGTCAGGCCATGAGTGTTAAGGATGAGAAGTGTTGGGGATTTTTCTAAGAGCACTTGGGACTTCTGGGCACTCCTCTTTGCTTCTATAATAGTGAATGATAGACCAGGGAATGAGTTTTCTTAGCCAGAGATCTCCAAACTCTTTTCAGTCTTCTAGTTGGAGATGTGGAAGCCAAAAGAGGGACAGTCTTACGTAAACATACAAGCCTTCAAAACAGAAGATGCAGGTATTTTGGTTCAGGTTGTTATAACCAGTTACAACAGACAGGGTGGCTTAAACAGCAAACGTTCATTTCTCACAGTTCTGGAGGCTGGAAGCCTGATTTCGGGATGCCAGCACAGTGGGGTTCTTGACAAATGCCCTCTCTCTGGCTCACGGGGGGCTGTTTTCTTGCTGTGTTGTCACATGGCAGAAGGAGCTAGCTGGCTCTTTGATTTCTACTTCTAAGAGCGCTAATCCCATTTATGAGGACTCCACTCATGTGATTTAATTACCTCCCAAAGCCCCCATGTCTTGACTCCATCACATTGTGATTAGGGCTTCAACATAGGAATGTGGGCAGGAGGACACAGACATTCAGTACATTGCATTTGGATTCAAGTTCTGCTTCTGCCATTGACTAGTCTCACGCTTTTAGTCACTTAGTGTTTCTAAGCCTTATTTTTTTTACCTGTGAAGCAGTACTCATCCTGTCTGCCCTCAGGGTTATTTTGGAACTATAAAATGTAGTGTACGTGGTATAACAAATACTTCTGATTTTTTATTTTTCAGATAATGCCATATTTGGATAAAGTGTATCTCCAGAGACACACAGAAATACAACCTGTCTGATCCTTCTTCAATGTCTGTCTTATTTACAAACATTAATTATAAAAGAAACAAAAAATCATTAATCAGATCACCAAGAAAACATTTTATTGTCACATAAAACACATATATATTTTTAAAAAATTTTTAAATGTTTATTTCTGAAGGAGAGAGAGACAGAGCATGGGTGGGGGAGGGGCAGAGAGAGAGGGAGGCACAGAATCTAAAGCAGGCTCCAGGCTCTGAGCTGTCAGCACAGAGCCTGATGTGGGGCTTGAACTCACAGTCTGTGAGATCATGACCTGAGCAAAGTGGACGCCCAACCACCTGAGCCACCAAGCACTCCACATAAAACATATTTTTATTCATTCCATCCCTTTATTTAGACTTAGATGTTTTGAAGAGGTTTTAAGTGATTAAAGATAGTTTCAAAGATGAAGATAGTTTACAGTGATCTTCTCTTTTAAATTTTTAGAAGTTTATTTATTATCTAAGTAATCTCTACACCTAACATGGGACTCAAACCCATGACCCAAGATCAAGAGTCGCATGCTCTTCCAACTGAGCCAGCCAGGCACCCCTAACCTAAAATGTTTAAATAGTTTGTTTCTGAAATTAGTAGAATATGTTGACCAATTCTACTAATCAAGTTGAAGGCTAAAGTCAATGCTTGCTTCTATTGCTAAATTGCATTAACTTACTCTGTTAAAGCTACCATTTTGGTAATTTGAATAAGTACCTACTTGAGAAGGTAATATTAGGTACCTATAGAGAATTTGTCCTATTTCATTGCCCATCCCCAAAGTGGGCATTGCTAGAGTCATCTCGTGGCCAAATCCTACTTGGCTAATGTCACCTTTGTGTCATTATTTCCTGCATAGCAGACTAATTTTTAAATTTTAACCTGGCTTGTGTTCCTTGTGGTAGTTTGAGGTAACAGCCTCTTCTATTCTATTTGGTAAGCCAAGCACTGCCTGGCTTCTTGGCATTTGTCTCTACATCAGTGAAATATTCACCTTGTATTTGGTGGCCCTTTGCCTCCACAGAAAGCTCAGATTCATAAGCCAAGGCGTTTTAATATTGGAAGGGATATGGATCCTACTGGCCTAAATCCTACCTCAGCTAGGGCTACGCAAGGGCACAGCGGACAGGATTCATTACCTCTGAGAGTGCAGTAAAAAGCCAGACTCAAAACTAATTTTTTGCTTCTCAAAAAGCAAACACCTAGTGTCACGAGCTATGAAGTGTTAGCCTACCAAGCTTCATGAGCGTTGACAGAGGACAGAAGACTCCTGACTCTGAGGCAAAAGACTCTATTACGCAGAGCACAGCAAGTAGCACAAGCCTCATGTTTAGGTTGGTCCCCCCTTGCACTTCCCCACCCCCTTCAAGGCGATGGGAAACTGTTCAGATAATGCCACACACAGAGGTTTTGCCTCACACCCAAGGACCCCTGCACTTAAGAAACCCAACCCTTGTTATACTGCACGGTAAATAAACCTGCCCTCTGTTACAGTGAGAGACATTATTTCTGTCATCCAAGGTCCTTGACTACAAACATCCTTGAAGAGATAGTCTAGAACAAAAGCTATCAGTGCCTCTGCTCCCAAGACATGCAGAAATGTGAGAGACCTATGGAGAATTATCTCCCAGCACCTAGCAGCCCAAATAAAGACCATCAGGTAAAACATTATTCCTTGGGTCCAATCTAAGATGAATCCTGGGGAATAAACACATAGTAAAGGAGTGTCAGGTTATGAATTATACAATTAACAACCTTTCTAACCTCATTCCTCTGTCATCCTGTCCTACCTTCTCTCCTAGGCACCTCTGGTTTTAAGGAATTATTAGTGGTTCTTTGCTTTATTCTGTTGTCCCTCCTTCCCCTGATTCCTGGAATCACCACCGTCTCCTGGAAGCCATCCCTACCCCAGCCTCTTTCCCTAATAGGTGTTTCCACAGCCTCCTCCTCTATACACCCTCTATACAACAGCCAAGGGCTAAAACCAAAAACCAAAATGTCACAAGACCATATATATCTTGGACTCTGAACCTACCTGAAATCACAAGAAGTCCAGCCACCTCCTCTTCCCCCTCCCAGGAATGTTTCATATCTGTTGATGCACGTGTTCCCTAATAAACATGTGGGGACCAGCATTTTCCCCCTTTTCTCCTCTGGCTCCCTGTAGAGCTGTCTGCAGATTCTCCCTCTGACTCTCCCTCTCTCTCTTCCTCTCGAGAGAAGTCAAGAACTTTCCAAGTCAAGGCCACTAATGTTTGTGCAGGAAGTCTTCCTGTGGCACCTCCAAGACTCCAGAAAAGACATTGGTATGGCCCACTATTGCTGTTGAAGCTGCTGTTGGGGTTCAGAATGAGTTGTCCTAAGATGTGCTATTTTGGCACATAGATTATTCTGAGCTGAAAACCATCAAGGCCCAAAAGACTCAAGAAGAAACTTTGACCCTCCCCCTAACTGCCTGAAGGAATTTAGACAGATGACCTGCTCCAGGAAGAGAGCTATCACCATCAATAACTACTGTGTAATATGAACTAGGTTTGGAAGAGGGAGGAACCTAGAAAAGTCTGCTACAATTCCTCTTTGTGTCTCATTATTTCTGTATGGCCCAATTCATCTTCCCGTGAATTGCTTTCCTTCTCTTTGAAGTTCCAGTCCCCCACCCCTTTCTCCTTAGTATAGGATGAACATATATACCTCATTTTGCTGGTCTTTGGAATCTCTCGTGTTTATGTGGATTCCCTGTACATACATAATTAAATTTGATATTCTCCTATTAATCTGTCTCATGTCAATTTGATTCTTAGACCAGCCAGAAGAATCTTGAAGGGTACAATAAAATTCTTGCATCCCAACACTGCCAACATCCAATGCCTCTTCCCTGGAGAGGGTCTTGCAGGCCACAGTAAGGGAGCTACATCTCTTTTCTGGCACTGCAGATGTGTCCAAAGAGAGGGGCCAGGCAGAACCAGAAGCCAGGCAGCACCAACCAGGACTCTCAGCTAAATAAGACCTCAGAACAAGAAGGGTTGGATGGTGAACCCAGGGAATGAAGAGGTGTGGGTGGACAGGTTTGAGGACACTCAGTTATGAAAATATTGCCCAAACCTTCACTCTTCTTTCTACAGTGTGAACAACTCCACTTACAGTGCCAGAGGAGAAGCAGAGACTAGAGAATCCAAGGAAGTTTCCCTGGGGGTTTTAGTGGAAAATTTCTTTTAAATCATTCCTCTTTTACTGCAGTCACCTCTTCCTCATGCATAAGTTTGTGGAGCTGTTCTAGAGAAAAATATGAATGACAGATATCACACTGGAGTTAGAATCACCCAAAAAATGGGGGCACTTGAGTGGCTCAATTCGTTAAGTGTCCAACTTCAGCTAAGGTCATGATCTCACGGTTCATGAGTTCAAGCCCCGCATCAGACTCTCGGCTGTCAACGGGGAGCCTGCTTCAGTCTCTTGGTGCCCCTCCCCTGCTCTCTCTCTCACACTCTCTCTCTCTCTCAAATGAATAACATTAAAACAAACAAAAAAAGAATCACCCAAAATTTGAGTCGTGGGACTCAACTCTCTTTTTTCCTTGAGCACAGGGTGAGTAATATCCTCAGATTTTCTATTTCAAGAACTGATTTCAAGGATGAACTGATGCATCCCCTTTTTAAATGTTATCTTCCCCTAAAATGAAACAAACTGAGCATCACATTTGTCACGCTATATTCACACAGGCCATTGAAAAGTGAGTCCTTCTTGCTTTAGAGACTTCACATTGGCTCCTCTCTGCCTGGGAAGTTCTTTCCCCATTCTTCTCAGATCTGGCCCCTTGTCACCTTCAGCAACTCAACTAGCATGTCGCCTCCTCAGAGGCGTCAACTAAAGTAGAAAGAACTCTGTTATGCAACTATATATTACTAAGCAGGCAAAAATAAGTCATGGAACATGTTCTATAAGTTCGTGAAGTCCTTGCCCTTGCCTTACTACTCAAAGTGTGGTCCATAGGCCAGCAGCACCAGTAACATCTGGAAGTTTTTTGAAATACAAAATCTCAGGTGTAGGGGAGAAAAACTTTCCTTTCTTCCTTTCTAGGTACTTTGGCTGGCTTAATAATTAAATGACATATTAATCAATTATTAACAATATTTAGTAACATTAATAAACAATATTAATACTATTGATTTATTTACTAAATATTGTTTATCCACTAAATTATTTTTATTAAATAATTATTAAACTATGCATTAGATAATTGATATTACTAATCAGTTTATTATTAATAATGAATATAATTATGAATTAAGACAGGTTAACAGGAGAGAAACACATTTAATTTCATATGGGAGTTCACAAAAATATGAAACTCAAGGGAAGTGAGCGAAGCAGTCAGTGTGTATACCTTTATACCAGATACAAGAAATTTGTGAGGAATTGACAAGACAAGTCTGGGCTTGGGGTAGTAAATTGGTGAAGGAAAAACAAGTGCTGTTTATACAGCCTCTCTGTGCTGCATTCCCAGACTCTGGTGATAAGGAGTTCTCTTTACCCACTGGTACAGGAGGGTACCTTTCACACAGGAGACTGACTTCCTGCTTGCAGGGGGACACAGGGGGCTCAGAGTGTCCTTCCTGCACCACTGCTTCGTAAGTCACTTGAATTCAAAATAACCCAAATAATCAATCTTGCAGAGTGGCATATTTTAGGGGGCCTGCCCTAGACCCCATCACCCCAGCTCTCCTGAAATGGAATCTGTCCTTTAACCAGATCCTCAGTTGACTTCTATATACATTCAAGTTTGAAAAGCACTGCAGTTTAAAGCACGCCCACAAACGCCTTTCTTGGAGTCACTCCAGTTTTTAGCACCTGGTTCTCAACTTTGGCTGCACCTCAGAAGCATCTAGTGAGCTTTTCAAAAATTCATTTCCCTAGACCTTGATTCCAGCAGTTGTCACTTAAATGACCTGGGTCATGGGAACT